CTCTTTTTACGGGACTTATATCGTTGTCGAATTTTCTTCCAGGAGCTATTAGAGTTTGCAAAGCTTTTTCTAAAAGGGATTCTCTGTAAGCCTGAAAATAACGCCATTATCAATTTTTAAAAGCCTGTTCTATAATGTTTAAAAATTTGCACAAATTTTTCAGTACGAGTATTTCTTACCCGGGTTACAAATGCAAGAGGGTCGATAGTATTTCCGAGACAACTAAATAAAGTCGAATCCGTATTTTTAAAAGACCATTTATTTGTCAAAAAAAATTTATAACCCTGATTAGTGAAAATCCATTGAAAACGACTCGGGGTTTTAGGACAATTTTTTAAACAAATTTGACGAGCTAAATTAAGGTAATACCTGAAAAAATATATATGTATACAATAACAACATTTTATAAATTGTGCCTATAATATATATATTATATATATCTATAATTAAAATTATTTTACCTTGTAAAAATTTGAAACATATTCGTGCATGATTCTTTGATTCTTAACGATACACCTATGTAGATATCAGCCATTATTTCAGGTTCAATAACAGAATTAGCCATTTCAGCAAGATTTAAAGCACTCAAAGCCAACATTAATCCTCCCCAATTATCTTCGGCTTGTATAAGATGAATTTGATGCAGACGATGATAAATAATAGCCAATTCTTTCGCCGATGTTAAAGCTTCGCGTTTTTTAATTCTGTTAAAAATGTCATTTTTTTAAAATTTTAATTAATTTATTGAAGACTCGCACGCAATATTAACTTACGAGTCTGCGAAAATTCCACCGGAACGTCTAGCAAGCCAACGGCCAATCCATAAACGATGAAAAAATTGCCGGATAATTTGCCAGGAGGTAGCCGTGATCCATTCGAAACGTGAAATAGGTAGCGGACGTCCAAACGTTTGAAGACATCTTTTTAATTCCAAACTTGCATCTGTGTTTTTTCCCTAGTAACGTATATTTAAAAATTATTAGTGAAGTATATAATTAGTAAATTTCGATAAAATTCCTACTTACGCGAGACAAATCAAAATCCGCTTGTTTTTTATACCTCCAAAAAGAGGTAAACGACTTTGATTTAGAACAAATTATTGGATCTCCATAAACGAAAATTTTGACTAAACAAAGACCGAGAATAAGTGTATTTATAACCCATAATAAGGTCGAGCTAAAGCCGGGCAACGTAGAACTGATGCTATCTGTAAAAGTTTTTCAGTTTTACGCACATATAAAATAATAATAATTGAATATTTTTATGACTTTAAATGTAACGAACCTCCTGAATTTAAAATAGTACGTCCTGTATCAAAAGCTTTTGTTTCCATTTCATTCAGTGATAACTTATTGAATAATATACCGAACGGATTAAACGATAGAATAACAAACATAAACATGCAAAGAGTTAAACGAGTGTGATCCGTCAAACCTCCTCCATTCATAATTTCATCTCCGTCTCTATTCTAAAAATTTATTTCAAAAATTAATTTTTAGGTTTTATCGTTTAAATATTTTAAATATAATTTTTACCATTGCAAATTGAAAATCGTATGGTGATGATGGCGTAGATCTTTCGCTGCTAGGACTCAAAGAACCCACGTTTGAATGAGGCGGAGTTATGTCACCATTAAGATCATTTAATATCATTTCTTCGTTGGGTACCAATAATTCCTTTAGTGATTGTTTTCTAGCAGCCATTTTCAGTGCCAAGTTTTCTTGTTTTAATTTATTATTTGCATTTTTTAAAAATTTGATGTAGTCAATAGCTTTTTTAAGAATCAAAGATTTGTTTATCTGAAAAAAAAAAATTATTCGTTTTTTTACAAAGGTATAAAATTTATACAAGTTTGTTTTTTTTTTTTTTAAATAAGTTAATTGATAAAAATGATTGACTGAAACCTTTTTTCCATTTTTAAAGTAATACTCTTAGTTTTATTTCAAAATTATTATATCAAACCAACCTTTGCTTCCTTTCCAACAATTATGTTTTTCAATTCGATAATTTTTTCATTGATACTTGTTCGATATCTTCTTTCAATAGCATTATGAGCACTTCT